ATCTCTCATGCTCTCGATGACTTTAATATAATGCTTATATATCTCAACCGTACAATTGTACTTACTGAACCCAGAAGTAGTATTACTGAACCAGTGAGTTCAAGTAGCGGGTGGGGCTGGCTCCCCCACCTCCCTCCACGCCACTTTTAATTTAATACTACAGACCCCCAACCATGAAATGATTTTTGTTGCTACTTCATCACTGTCGTTTTGCTACTGTTAGGAATCGGGTGATCTCTGTGAAAGGGTTGTTCGATGCCCCCCAAAGGGGTCGAGAACCACTGCATTAACATAACCAAGAACACCCAGTCCCGTTGCGATGAGAACCTCTAAATCCAAGCCTCCATTCTGACTCGGAGTCTGTACCCATAACCCTGCGTGCTCCACCATGAGACCACCACCCAGGATAAAGTGTACCTATCAGCTTCTGGAGGACCCTGGATCATTCCAGTAGGAGCCTTGGTGGCATAGTGGTTATACTTTGGGTTGCTAACTGCAAGGTCAGCTGTTTGAAGCTGGGAGAAAGACCGGCTTTCTACTCTCATAAACAGTGATAGTTTCGGACATCCCTGTCCTATGGGGTGGTCGTGCATCCATCCACTTGATGACAGGGTTTATTTTTGTTTTTTGAGGGTGGGGAGGATTCATTCCCTAACCTATAACTGACTTCAGAACACCGCCACATCCAAGTTGCTATCCAGTCATGGCCTACCCATGTGTATCAGCATAGCTTTCGACGACTCTCTTTTCACCAGTGGGTTGCCAGGACATCCTTGCCAGGCTCTCAGGGTCTGGCGCTGCTGAAACCTGTGGATGGCGTGACCCTGCCAGTCTTTTTGAAGGACCAGTGGCTGCTGTAGTTTCCAGTGTCACAGCAACACCTGAGGCCCATGTATTGAACCTACCAGCTGTCCCTGACAAGCCTGTTTGCACCCTTAAAGACTGTAGCCTCAGAAACCCAGAGGGGCAGTTCTACTATGCCCTATAGCAGGGGTTCTCAACCTGTGGGTCACGACCCCTTTGGGGGTTAAATGACCTTTTTACAGTGGTCGCTCGATTCATAACAGCAGCAAAATGGCAATGATGAAGTAGCAACAAAAATCACTTTATGGTTGGGGGTCACCACGACATGAGGAACTGTATGTATGAAAGGGTCGCGGCATTAGGAAGGTTGAGAACCACTGTCCTATAGGGTCGCTATGGGTTAGAATTGATTTGATGGCCAGGTGTGGAGTCATCTTGGTGGGGATTTGGCTTCCTGATTTAATGCTTGTTTCTCTACTGGAGGCAGCGACCCAGCTCTGGGCCTGGAGCCAGACGTGTCCCGACAGCAAGTCCGGTCACGTGGCGTGGGGGCGATCACGTGGCAGAAACTCGGCCACGACACGGCAGTCCCCGCCCTCCCTCCCCGCCCACAAGAAGCTCCACCCAAGACAAGCCCCGCCCCCGGGCCCCGCCCACAGCTTGTGCAAACGCATTTGCGGACGCGCGTCTGCGCACTCTCGGGCCGCCTGTTTCGTCCGCAGATTCGTCACGGGCGGTCCGTGGAAATGGTCCCAGAAACAAAAGAAAAAAAACAACAAATTACGCCGCATCTTTGCCCGTTCTGGCAGGGCTCCTGTGTCGTCGCAATCTGCGCTGAGCCGCGAGCCGCTGGCCCGGCCGGGCCGGGTGGCACGAATCTGCGGAGAATGCGGGGCCGCGGGGGCGGGGCTTGCCCGCGCGCGGCGTTTTCAGAGGCGCCGCTCGGCTGGCGGGCGATCCCGGGTCTCGGAGCTCCCGCGGCCCTCGCGTCCATCCCGGCCACCTGGCGAGGGCTCGTCTGTCCGAGCTGCCGGAGGCGCGTGCAGCGGCCAGGTGAGGGCGCGCCGGGGCCACGCAGAGCCGGACAATTGGAACCGGCACTGCTTTGGGGAGGATCAAGGGCCCCTGGTCAATATTGGCGTCCTGGGATCCCGTCGTCCTCGGTGACGGGGACCGCCCCGGGGTTAGCCACCATCAGTCTGACCATGCCGTAGTACACTTGGTCAGCGAATGTGCCCAGAGGTGGCCAAGTGCCCCTATAGTGTTTCCTGTGGGGTGCGGTGGGCACCCTGAATGAGCGTCCCCGCTGTGGGGGTGGGGCGGGGAGGCGGTGTGGGTGGGTGAAATGCCATCTTCACCCTGGAAAATGACCTCGGCTGGGGCTTCCGACAGAGGCTGGCAGGGAAGGAGATGGGCCCGTTGGAAGGACAGATGTGGCTGAGCCCGGGGGTGGGGACTCACAGCCGTTTTCCTGTGCTCCCCCAGACATGGACTTCACCCGGGCTGCTGTCCGCCTTGCCGTCCGAGATGCCATCCGCACCCTTGGGTCCTCTAAGGATGGCAACTGCGTCCTGTCAGCCCTGGAGTCCCTGAAGCCCTATCTGGGAGAAGCCCTCCCCAGAGAGAAGGAGGAGTTCGCCAGGCTCCACTTCTCCCCTCTGCTCAGGTGCCTGGTCACCAAGCTGAGCCCCGACTGGCTGGAGCTGCTGCCTGGGGACCAGCTGGAGGAGCTCTGGGCCAGCTTCTTCCTGGAAGGCCCCGCTGACCAAGCCTTCCTGGTGCTGATGGAGGCCATCGAGGGTGCTGCTGGGTGAGCAGGTGGCGTGAAGTAGGCACTCAGCAGGAGCTGGCAGCGGGGGTTAGGCGTGGTGAGAGCATTTGGTCCCATGAGAACCCATGCTCCAGACAGATCTGGGCATGACCAAGCACCCAGGGCTTGGGGTGGGAGCATCTTTGCCTGCTTAGAAGGAGTGTCTTTGCTCTCACTTGCCCCCTCCTCTCTTGTCCTTGGAGTCCTGTCATGATGGAGGGGTGCTATGGTCAGCGTCCACTGTCTCCTCCCCAGGTGGGCATTGGTTATCTTTCTGTGGGTCCCATCTGTGTCACAAGGCACCCCCGGCCGCACAGCAAACTCACAGGGGGTGCTAGGGAGGTTTTACGTAGCCAACCATGGGTTAACATTGAGTTGCTAACCATAAGGTCAGTGGCTTGAATCCACCAGCCTCTCTGTGAGCATAAGGGGAGGTTTTCTACTCCTGGAAAGTAGTAGAGTCTCAGAATCCCATAGAACAGTTCTGTTTCCCCTAGGGTCTCTGTGAGTCAGAACTGACTTGTGAGTGGGTTACACGGTGAGTTGCTAACTACAAAGTCAGCAGTTCAAAACGGTCAGCCACTCCACAGGAGAAAGAGGAGGCTTTCTGCTCCTGGAGAGGGAGTTCTGCTGTTTCCTGGAGGGTCGCTAGGAGTCAGGATTGCTTCCTTGGCAGTGAGTTTGGGTGTTTTTGGAACCAACACTTTGAGAGCCCTGGTGGCTGGTGGTGCACTGGGCTATGCACTGTGCTGCTAACCACAGGGTCAGTGGTTTGGTCCCACCAGCTGCCCTAATGGAGTAAGATGAGGTTTTCTGCTCCTGCAAAGGTTCAAAGTGTGGGAAACTCACAGGAGCAGTGTGCCCTGTGCCGCAGGGTCGCTGAGCTGGAACGGACTTGATGGCAGTGAGCTTGTTGGCACTGGCCTGCATGCGTGCGTGTGTTGGGGTCAGAGGCCCTGTGGGCTTCTAGGAGCTTCTTGTTCAGCATCAGATTACACTCTGTGGCGGCGTGGCTGTGGGAAGCAGTGGTTGCGAGAGCGGTGGCGAGGGCGGGGTAGGGGGGTAGTAGACATGCTCCCTTCTCTCCATTCTGGGGCAACACCTGGGGCTGTTGCTCCCGCTGAGGCACCCAGGATGGGTGCTGAGGACGGGACCTGGGGCCCTTGCCTGTGACTGGCGCTGCTCTTCCTTCAGCCCCAGCTACCGCCTGATGAAGCTGGTGAGGCTGCTGGAGCAGTTCCTGCACGCCGGCAGGATGGCGGTGCTGATAGGGACCCAGTGCCGGCAGCAGGCGCCACCCGGCTCCTCACTGCTGCAGGACACGCTGCTCGGCAAGGTTGTGAGTCTGCCTGACCACCTGAGCAACCGCCTGCAGCACGAGAGCCCAGCCCTGTTCCTCCCCCAGAGCTACTTCCCTCTGCTCGCCGAGGAGCTCCTGCGGGCGCTGGACTCGGTGGTGGACGCGCTGCGAGGTGAGTGCCGCCCCCTGGCGGGCCGACCCGGCACCTCCTGCCTGGCGCTCAAGACCCCTGGGTCTCAGGGGTCTCTGTGTCATGCCGCGGAGCAGATGGTCAACACACTCATCTGCTAACCGAGAAGTTGGAGCCTGTGCCTCAGAGGAAAGGCCTGGTGACCGACTGCCCAAAAGTCAGCCGTCGGAACCCTTGGGAGCACAGTTCAGCTCCAGACCACCTGGGGCCACCTTGGGTCAGACTCGGCTCAGCAACAGGCCAGGCCTCTGAGCTGGTTCGACAGCCCTCTCTAAGAGGGACTCCTGCGGAGGGAGGTGGAGTGGGTGATGCAGTGGTCTATCCTGTCCGTTGTGGTGGAGGTCAGAGTCCCCCGGAGCCAGCGGGGGTCCCGTGACTTGGGCTTGTGAATGAACTGTGACAAGTTGGGCCTTTGGTAACGCGGCGTCTCCCGCTCTGAGGCCAGCCCCCTCATTCTGCGGCACCTCGAGGGGTCTTCTGTGTCTTCAGCACTGGCTCACTCTGTCCCAGGTGGCGTGGACTGCTCCGTCGTCTTTGCCTCTCAGGTGCTGGGCAAAATCTGCGTCCATGGGAGACAGAGTGAGCGTCTCCCTGCTTGAGACCCCACCCGCCTGCCCCCTACCCACCCCTGTGGGACTCAGCAAGTGGGAGGTGGGACTGCTGGCCTCGCCTGACCTTGGGGGTCTTCCCCCACTGGGCTGTGTCCGGGCCCTGTTCCCCAGCCCAGCCTCAGCTCAAGCCCGTGTCCCCGCAGAGGAGCTCCTGGGTGTGCTGGTGCCCCGCCTGGCGGCGCTCGCACAGGAGGACGGGCTCTGGCAACGGGTGTGCTGGCACCTGGTGGAGCGCGTGCCTGACCGAGCTATGGAGGCCATGCTGCTGGGGCTTGTGCAGGCCGCCCCCGGGTAAGGAGCCTGCCTGCATCCCCAGAGTGGGGTTTAGTGGGGCCACACAGTGGCCGGGTATTTGCACAGGGCACGTGGTGGCCCCGCTGCTCTCCCTGGTCCATTGGGGTCTGGCCCTTCTTAGAGGTGCTGTGTCAAGCGCCCAGTTGGTTGGGTCCAGGCACAGCCTGATGATGAAGGCCTGGCTGGCTTGGGTGCTGGTTGCTTCTGGTCTCCACACCTGCCTGTTGCCCCCAGGCTGGACCCAGGCCAGCATGTGGGCCTTCTGCAGAGGTGGTGGCACTCTGCAGTCAAAGGAAGCTGCTTCTCATGAAGCAGGGACGCACATCACAGAGGGGACATGGTGTGACAGGAACTGCCCCAGACTGAGAGCTGAAGGCTGACAACACTAGGCCCACTGTGACCAAGTGCCTGACAGTGGCTCTTCCTGATCCCCAGGCCGGAGGCCTTGTCGAGATTGTTGGGGAACGTGGTGTTGAAGAATAAGAAGGCCCACTTTGTGATGACCCAGAAGCTTCTGTTCTTACAGCACCGGTGCACGGTGAGGACCCAGCCAGAGGAAGCGGGG